TTTTTTTAAGATGGAGTCTCGCTCTGTAGCCAGGCTGGAGTGCAGTGGCGTGATCTCAGCTCACTGCAACTTTTGCCTCCTGGGTTTGAGCGATTCTCCTGCCTCAGTCTCCCCAGTAGCTGTGACTACAGGCGCGTGCCACCAAGCTCAGCTAATTTTTGTATTTTTAGTAGAGATAAGGTTTCACTATGTTGGCCAGGATGGTCTCAATCTCTTGACTTCATGATCCACCCGCCTCGGCCTCCCAAAGTGCTGGGATTACAGGCGTGAGCCACCGTGCCGCCGGCCACTCTCTTCCCTTTTATGGGCTGACCCCGCCTCTACATTCTATTCCCTTATTGTGACCTTCTAGGTGCATGAGCCCTGCGATTTGTTACATTTTCAGGCTGGCTGCCAGTACTTAGATTTATCATGCCTCAAAAATGAACCATTTAAAATGTTTTCTCACATATACTCTTGTATCTGGTTTTTTGCACATAACATTATTTTTATGAGATTCACCCATTCACATTTTCTCTTTCTCTCTCCTTTTCTTCTCTCTCTCTCTCTCTCTCTCTCTTTCTCTCTTTCTTTCATCTCATTCTGTTACCCAGACTGGAGTGCAGTGGCACAATCACAGCTCACTGCAGCCTCAACCTTCTGAGTTCAAGTGATCCTCCCACTTCCGCCCCCCGAGTACCTGGGACTACAGGTGTGCACCACCACACCCTGCTAATTTTTAATTTTTTTGTAGAGACAGGGTCTCCTTATGTTGCCGAGGCTGGTCTCAAACTCCTGGGCTCAAATGATCCGCCTGCCTCGGCCTCCCAAAGTGCTGGGATTATAGGCGTGAGCCACTGTGCTGGGCCTCCAGCCTACATTTTCATTATGGTTTTTAAATATTTTACTTTCTTGATAGTTACTATATTCATTACCATTCTTTTGTTTTGTTTTGTTTTGTTTTTTGACAAAGTCTCACTCTGTCGCCCAAGCTGAAGTGCAGTGGCGTGATCTTGGCTCACTGCAACCTCTGCCTCTTGGGTTCCAGTGATTCTCCTGCCTCAGCCTCCTGAGTAGCTGGGATTACAAGTGTGCGCCACCACGTCCAGCTAATTTTTGTATTTTTAGTAGAGACAGGGTTTTATTATGTTGTTCAGGCTGGTCTCGAACTCCTGACCTTGTGATCCGCCTGCCTTTGGCCTCCCAGAGTGCTGAGATTACAGGCATGAACCACCGTGCCCGGCTTATTACCATTCTTTTACGGGTCTCATAATATTGAAACATGCATCTTATATACTGGCTCTCCAATTACTTTCTCTTTGTTCTGATTAATGTGAACAAACAAAATAATTTGCTTTGATTTTGCTGGTGGTGGTCCCTGTCATGATGCCATGATTCATGACCATCAACAAATGACTTAAATGACTTATTGTTCGCTGCTCTATCAGAAGTAGCTATTCTGAGGCAGTAAGGTCTCATCCACAGAACACAAGACTGCATTTTAATTTTCCTGGTCCAAGCACCAAATTAATAAAACACAACAGCTAGACTACTTGCTGCTTCCTACCAGCATCTCTGCAATCACTAAGTGTGCGGCTCCTTTAAGGCGGCTCCCAGGCTAGGCTGGAGTCCTCACCTTCAGGCTGCCTGGAGAGTCACAAATATTTAACAAAAGAAGTTGCAGACTTAGGTAATAACATATATTATCACAGGAAGAAGTAGAAATAATAGTAATTTGCTGTAATCCTACAGAAGCAGATATAATCTTGTTCTCCAGACTAAGAATCACCTTACAGCAGAAGCTGAAAGGCCCTCTGATTTTCCAAGAATAGAAATTGCTCTAAGTAAAATGATGATTTATTAGACAGAAGTGATATAAAAATGGTTCCCGGAAAATGAAGTGAACTAAAATAAGAAACTACAAATAGAGGAAGGCAGAAAAACTTGGTGATAATGTGAGGGGATACAAACAAAAATTTGAGAGGTAGTCCAGGTTTTCTGTTGCTCCCAAGACTGTGTCTGTTGTGGCTGCAGCATCTTTGTAATTCACCGCCAGTATTTCAGGATGACTTGAGGCTGATTGCAACCATGTTGTAGACTAAACCATTAAGGCAGCTGGGATCAGGGGCTCCACATTGCTTAAAATCTTTACAGCAGAGAGGTGTGTGTGTGTGTGAGAGAGAGAGAGAGAAAGAGAGAGAGAGAGAATTTGAACCCAATTAATATATATATTTTGAGACAGAGTCTAGCTCTGTCATCCAGGCTGGATGTGCTGGGATTACAGGCGTGTGGCACACGCCTGGCAAAAAGTGGTTCATTTTTATGGTTAGGTTTGAAACTACCTTTGCACAAATGATAACAGTAAGAAAATTATGACAGTGTAGGAGATCTGATCTAACCAATCCCCATCTTGGGTTTCTTTTCTTTGGTTTTGTTTTTGAGATAATGTCTTGCTGTCTCCTGGTCTGGAGTGCAAAAGCACGATCATGGCTCACTGCAGCCTTGATCTCCTGGGCTTAAGTGATCCTCCCACCTGAGCCTACCAAGTAGCCGGGACTACAAGTGGGTGCCCCCATGCCCGGCTAATTAATTAATTTATTTTTTTTGGTAGAAATAGAGTCTTGATATGTTTCCTAGGCTGTTCTTGAACTCTTGGCCTTAAGCGATCCTTTCTCCATCTGCAATCTGTCTGCTTTGGCCTCTCAAGGTGTAGTATTACAAGCGTGAGCCACTGTACTCGGCCTCTTCCCCTTTTTTTGTGGCTATCTTGACACTGAGTTTTTGAATAGCCCAGGCCAGTTGTTTTGTATAACATCCCATACTTCTGGGACTGTCTGATTGTTTCTTTATGATTAAACTATCCTTTACCCTAAGTCCCCGCTGCAAACGGATCCCGGAAATAAACATTTGCACATAAACTTCTAAAATAGAGGCCCGGACTCAGCCAGGTGCAGTGGCTCACACCTGTAATCCCAGCACTTTGGGAGGCTGAGGCAGATCACTTGAACTCAGGAGTTCGAGACCAGCCCGGCCAACGTGGTGAAACCCCATCTCTACTAAAAATACAAAAGAAAATTAGCCGGGTGTGGTGTCGTGCGTCTGTAATCTCCGCTGCTCAGAAACCTGAGGCAGGAGAATCCTTTGAACCTGGGAGGCGGAGGTTGCAGTGAGCCGAGATCGCGCCACTGCACTGCAGCCCAGGCGGCAGAGTGAGACTCCAAGTCACAAAAAAAAAAAAAAAAAGAAGAAGAAGAAAAAACAGAGGCCAGGACTCAGAGCATCCTGGAAATGGTTGTGCAGAATCTACACTCCAGACGGAAACACTGGGGAAAGTTTAGGAGCCCACCTTTTCCTCCCCTTACCCTCCGTTCACGCTTCTGCCCACTAGAGGGCAGCCAAGTCAAACAAGGTCTAAAGCTTTACTCAGATTTGGTGATCTCTTCTGGGATC